CAGTGAAATGTATTTATGAACAAAAACGTTGAAATGTATATGTCATGAAATGTGTTTATCAACATTGTTATGTATTTGTCAATATTTATCAATAAAATGTATTTGGAGAAATGTTAATTTTGTTTTCCGTAATATACCAGAACAAATACACTTATAATTTGGTGTAACATAGTAACAAAACCTTAAAAAAAAGTTGTACTAAAGGTCATACCAAAAGTAATATTATATGTCATGAGTGATAGTAACAGAACCTTAACAGAAGTTATAAAATAATACACACCAAAAGAACATTATAGGTCATAATAATAGTTACATTACAAGTTAGAACAAAAGTGGCATTCCAAGCCATATGTCATAAAGTAGAAAATAGACATTGTATGCCATCTGTTACATCAGCAGAAATCCAATAAAAGTGGAATTATAAGCCTTAGTCATAAACTACAAAGTAGGCCAAAAATGGGGTAACTAGTAAACATCAAAGATCAACATAAAGATTAGGGATGGCTCAGAACTGGTTTTAGACCCTTTTTATGTTTCCTTTTCTTTTTGGGTGGTTACTGAGTTGAAGCTCCATCTAGTGTTGGTTGGCTTGAGGTAACAACTAGTTGTGGTCGGACTAAGGTAGCAACTGGTTGTGGTTGGCTTGAGGTAGCAGCTAGTTATGGTTGGCTTAAGGTAGCAGCTGGTTGTGGTTGGCCTGAGGTAGCAGCTGGTTGTGGTTGGCTTGAGGTTTCCTGGTTGTGGTTGACCTAAATTCATAGCAGTTGTAGGCAGCTTGCAAGTGGCCTTATTATGACGATCCTTATGGAATCTACTGCATTTGATACCAAAATTTTTCCTCGAGTTTTGTCTCATTTCTCACTTGTTCCCCAGCCTCCTTGTTCCTTTTCTTCTTGGATCTACCAGGCATTCTTTTTTTGAGGGTGGTTACAGGTCAACAACATTTGTTTTGGTCTAAAGAGATTCTCCATTAACTAGATAAATCACAGGTGCATAACAAGCCTCATAGCACTCTTTTTTGTAATAATTAGGCACAAAATCATCCACTTGTAAATGTTGATCCTTCATACATGAAATTGCATGACAGTGTGGTAGCTTTGTCAGCATCCACCTTCTACATGAACACTCATGCTTTGATAGATTAAAAATAAACTTTTCTTATATGAGTGATATATTACTAACCTCATAGTCTACTTCACCTGCACGCCTGTTACAAATACAAAAATTAATTATGGACCAAGGTTATATCAACTATTTGGTCTTTGTCTCAAACAAGTATGAAGCATTACCTAAAAATCTAACTGCTTGTTCTTTGTGATTCTTTTTCCAACCTTTTTTTTTTATATTTGGCATAATGGTATCAGCATATTTGGAAATCTTTTGTCTGTTGGACTCCCACTTTTGCATCAGGTACACTCTTATCTCTTCAAGCATAGTTACAATAGGATTGCCTCTTGCAGCTACAAATACTGAGTTGAAGGCTTCTGACATGTTGTTCACCAAAGTATCACACTTTGGACCATTTTTAAACCTTGATTTGCTCCAGAACCTTGGTGGGATCTTCCAAAGGTGCTTGAATTCCTCTTCATTAACATTATTCATCTCACGCATATTTTTTTCCCAAACATTTGAGTGACTTGCATTAGCATCCTTCCACATCAATTCCTTTAATTTGACACAAGAAAACTTCTTCTTGAAATTGCTATATAGGAGCCTAAAAAGAATAATACATGTCAAACATCCACATCAGTAACTAGTATATGAATAAAACATGTCAAATCTAACTTAAAAATAATGTTTACCTGACACAAAACCTTTGGCCAACTTCTGGTAGCAACTCATCAAGTGCAAGAAATAATCCCTGTATTTTAGGCAAACCAAATCAAATTTAAATGTCTTGCATAATCTAACAAAAAATAAAACAGTTAAACATATATCAATACACACCTTTTGTTGATCCCTTATAAAGGTATATGTCTTGCATAATCTGACACCTCCCACATCAGTTGTTAATAGCTATTTCTTCAGAATTTCCAACTGAATCCTCACCAGAATCCTCAAAGTTTACATTCAAAACACTATCATCTTCACTATCACCAACATGTTTTTAGTTACATCCCAACCCCTTATTTTCTTGGTTATATTCTAGTTCCTGATGATCATTTTGGTTAGAGATAAGTCCCTCAACTACTGAATCAGTTTGAACACTTACCAGATAAGGTGTTCCATCCAAAATATCATCTTCTTGGTCACATACAATATGATCGGTGGTCCCATCTAAAGTAATATCCACTATTGCATCTTCATAAAAAGTGTCCCCCTGAAAGTTAACATCCTGACATGACTCTTTTTGGTTAATGCCCCTAGTGGTCCCATTCACATTAACATCCTCAAATGAACCTTCTTGGTCAATTGTAGCTGAATCTTCTACACCTGTAGGTCCTCCTTCATCAAACTTGTCACCAAGATTATTCAATTCTTCAATGGTCCCTAAATCATCAAAAATTCCTTTTACACCATTATTCAATTCATCCAACATGTCATCTTCCAAATTATCGTCTTTTACACCATTAGGACCTACATTGTTTTCAAGAGGCAATATTTGCTCTTCCTCACACACTGAATGCGTTACATATAGATGAACATTCCCATTGATCAGTGTAATCTTCTTTATTCTATTTGTTCCTGCGTCATCTTGCAACATCACTAGCTCGTTATCATCCATTGCTTCATAATACCACAAGCTCTCAACTTTTGGGTACCCTAAATCTTTTAACCCACCTAGGATCTCAAAATAACTCCAAAAATCCGGGTCAACTTGCCAAATCTTCTCTAACCACTTGTAACCTAATATGTTAAACTCACCAAACACACCCTCATGACAGATAACACACTCAAACCTATCACTTATGACCTAGTCACACCAAATAACTCAGGAATGAGGCTTCGAAGTAGACGAAATTGTTAAACGTTTTCTTTTTAAAATAGTAAGTTCACACACGTACATTAGCCTTGAAATGAGATAATGGTCGAGTTGTTAAGTATCGTCTTCTGCTATGTTCCATAAAGCGTCATCTTCAACCACCGATCTCTTCTTTTTCGCAGCTGCTAGGTTTTTTTGGCAATGAGAGTGGAACTATGAAACTGAGATAAAAAATTAAGAGTTCAAGATTTTTTGTTTCTAAAAATGAAAAAGGAAATCACTATGCCACATCACTATAATAACATTTGAAAAAAAAGAATAAAATGTCACATCAGTATCTCACTATGCCACATAGGCATCTGTTAACGTTTTTCCAATAAAATTAACAGAAAGAATTTATTAGGCTAACGAAGTAGACTTAAAGAATTATATTGTAATATTTTTTAATTGTGGAACTAACTAGAAATAACAAATTAACTTAAGGGATTAAAAGATAAATTAAGCCTATAATAAATAGATCGAATGATGTTTTTGGTGCATAAATAAGATTGTTTTTTTAGTTAATCCTATTTAATATGAATGGTTGATAAGTCACACACACCTGAATCTAGAGGTTTCATAGATTAGAGAAAAAGCTAGGTCAGATAAATACTTGTTAGATAAATATTTGTATAGAAACCAACATAACACACATTTTTAGAAACAATCAATCATAACTTTTTTTATTAATTAAAAAATAAAAATAATGTTTTCACTCTCTTGCTTAATAACCACCACCCCATAATTTCAATTAAAAATTTCTCTCTTTATTAGTTGTTTCTAATAATATAAATTTAGGTGTGTTACTATTTCTCGCTAGGTCAAAGCAAGTGAATTGGACTTCTTCAAATAAATCATTCAACCTAACTGAAAAAGAAAAAATATTCGCTACGTTTCTTTTTAAAATAAAATTTACTTAGAACTTCTAGAGCTCGCCATTGTTTTTTACCACAAATAGGTTGCTAGCATGTACTCACAAATTCACTAGCTTCCAACACGTGTCCCATAATATATGTCAACGAATACTTTTCTAGCATTTTCCTTCACTTACGCAAAAGACTTTACAAGTCAAAAGGAACGGTTCAAATTTAGCTTTTAATATTTTTATGTTTTTCAATGTGTAACGCCAATGTGCCACACCCTTGTCCACTGTTCTTTTACGACCACCAGTTCAATATTTTTACTCAAATAATATGACTTTTTGAAAAAATTCTCAAAATATCTCACATTTTAAAAATATTCTTAAAGTATCTCAATTAGAGTTTAAATTTACACAAGAATACCAATTTAATTGACAACTCTTTGTTAATATCATAAGAGTGACGGCAATTGATTTGGAAATATCTCATTCAGTCTCTAATTCAATTGGCGATTTAGGTATGTACATTAAAAGGTGTGGCCAATTCATCTGAAAACCCTTTATATTTTAAAATTTTTTCTATAAATAAAAGTGTTCTGATAATTTACTTTTACTTCTTATTTGATATCTTTCTTCTACCGATAACATGTATCGTCGCCGGTGGGAAAAACATTATTTATTTGAGAGAGAAGCTTCCGATGAACATTCTGTTTTGGAACATACAAAGTTTCAATCAACTTGACAGGGAGTTGAATTAGTGGTTAGTGGTTGGAAGGAGACATTGGGAAAGGGAAAAAAATACTTGACATGGAGTTGAATTAGTGGTTAGTGGTTGGAAGGAGACATTAAAAAAGGGGAAAAATCTCTAATATCGAGAGATTTGATTGGCTGCGTAGATGAATTCATGTTAAGACAGACAAAAATGCGAGAAAAGTAATGTTTGTACCGAATAAAATTAGTTTGATTGTTGTAATCAATTAAAAATGTTATAATTACAACCTTAACTAGGTATTTTGGGAATATTTTTGAAATGCAGAGTATTTTGAATTTTTTTAAAAAAAATTAAGTTATTTAGATAAAAAAATTCACACCAATTACTATGATACAATTTTATAAATAGGAGTCACGAGTTCTCTAACACACCTAAATACAACATAACAATTATTCCTCACTTTAGATATGAGTTCTGTCCAAATCCTCTCCACCACCGCAATCCATGCACCAAATCACTTAAATGATCATATAGTCGATCTAACACCATGGGATCTACAATTCCTCCAATTCAGATACAACCAAACTGGTCTTCTTTATCACCAACCTTTTGAGTTAGATGCAACTAATCAATTCCAACACTTTAAAAATTCTCTTTCCTCTACCCTTGATTTTTTCCATCTTTTCACAGGTCGTCTAAAAATCACACAACACGAAGATAATACTATCTCATGTTCTATTGAGTGCAACAACGAAGGAGCGCTGTTGGTTCATGCTGTAGCGAAAAATATTACTGTTTCCAATATTCTTGAACCCAATGATCTTCCCCCTATTCATCACTCATTATTTTCACTTAACGGAGTAAAAAATTATGAAGGAACTTCACAGCCATTACTTGCTGTCCAAGTAACAGAATTAGTCGACGGCGTCTTTGTTGGCTTTACACTTAACCATGTGGTTGGTGATGGTAAATCGTTTTGCCATTTTTCCAATTCGTTGGCCGAAATCTCAAAAGGTTGTGTTAAAATATCCAAACTTCCAATATTTGAACGCTGGTTTCCAAGAGATATTGAATGTCCCATTCGATTTCCTTTTGCAGTAGAGCTGCAAAATAATTATTCTAATAAGGAAGAAAAAAAGCTCAACTTGCCAGAAAGATTATTTCATTTCACAAAAGAAAATATTGCTAAACTAAAATTCAAAGCCAACTTAGAGGCTGGCACACAAAATATATCTTCTTTGCAAGCACTTCTCACTCACATTTGGCGTTCTTTTATACGCTCTAGAAAACTTGACCCACAAACAGAAGTGAGTTTTGTGTTGGATATAGGCGTTAGACCAAGGGTGATTCCTCCTCTGCACGAGGATTATTTTGGTAATGCTGTGATAGATTGTGCGGTTACCATGAAAGCCGGTGAATTGTTAGAGGATGGTGGACTTGGTAAAGGTGGTTTGAAGATGAATAAGACTATTGCTTTGCACTCTGATGAGAAATTGAAAAGTGACTATAAAAATTGGTTGATAACACCGAGTTTTATTGTCACTCCTGATGAAGTGCTGAATAATAATTCATTGGTGATTGGTAGTTCGCCTTGGTTTGATGTTTTTGTTAATGATTTCGGTTGGGGAAAACCAGTAGGTGTTCGAAGTGGAAGTTCAAATAAAAGAAATGGGAAAGTTTATGTATATGCAGGTGTAGAAAAAGGTAGTATGGACCTTGAAATTTGTCTTCCCTATGAAAATTTGGAGGCAATTGGGAATGATCCCGAGTTTATGGATCATGCGACCCACTACCGTGGCTTCTAAGTTCTAAATTCTAATAATGTTGAATCTGTAGCGTACCATTTCATTTCATTTCAGATTCTTTTGATTTTTATTTGAATAATGGATTAATAATGATGATGAAGTCTTGCTTTTGTATTTTTGTCATTTTTATTGTAAGAAGGTTTGATGTTTAACTCCATATAAGCAGTGCATGTTGTGGAATTTTTATTTTATTTTTTGAAGTGAATCTGATGACTTTGTTGTTATTGATGAATTGCGTGTTGGAAATTTGTGACTTGGAAAATTTTGTTCAACGTTTGATAATTGCTCAATTCTATGTGCGTATAAGAATATGATATTTCCAGTCAGGTCTATTGATTCAAAGGCTGCTAGGCTCGTACACTGTGCTTAGTCATGAGGTTGATTTTCAAAGGCTTATTTTCTTGTATGCAATCATATGTTCCATATTTTCAAAAATCCCTTAACTGTGCTTCGTGATCATGATTGACAATCTCACGTTGGTGGCATCATCAACGTGCAAATCCAATTGGCTATTTTTCCACTCTCGACATATATTATTGGAAAAATCACAAATCCATATTGATTACGGATAGAATTTTAAGAGTTTATACATATAGGACATCTCACTTTATAATTTGGTTTTGTAGAATATATTAAATGAAATTCTAATTGTAATAAGTGTAGGTTATTTTACATTACTTAATGGCAATTATTTTAGTTATTACTTTTGTTGATTATAGCGGTAAGAATATACAAGAATAAGCCCAATAAAAACACTCAATAACTTTAAGCATAAGAATATACAAGAGTATACAAATAGTCTCTTTCAAGTTGGTGTGAATATGCCTTTTAAATCTAACTTGGAAACAAGTTCAAAAAGAAGAACCAAATCAAGCGGCTTTGTGAGAAGATCGGCTAAATGTTGGGAAGAGGAGATTGGGAGAAGACGTAATAACTTTTGCTAGTGTTTTTCGCAAATAATGTGGCAATTAAACTCTATATGTTTGGTCCAGGATGTGTTTGTAGCAATATGACAAGCTGATTGGGTGTTACAATATAAGAGAGTAATGAAAATAAAGTCCATCTTGAAGTCTTGGAAAAGATAACTCAGCCACTAAATTTCATAGAGTGGTGGCCATCGCACAATATTTAGCCTTAGTTAAAATCGAGATCTTATATAAGATCGGGAGAGAATGTCAAGATCGTAAAATATAAAATCGTAGATAAGATCGGAAGATCCTACTCAATTATTTTCTTAAAATTGAGAGGGGTAACAAGATTGGTAAACATATGATCGTAGTAAAATTCGTAAGATCCTACTAAAATGAAAAAAATAATAGTATATATTTTAAGTATTTTTATATGATATATGTTAGTAGGCAAATGTATTTATGAGAAAATGACTGTTTTTCATATTTTTTAGACATGTATGATTGAGTTTTTATACTTTATTACTACCACACGGAACATTTGTTAGATATTAAGGACATATTGATCAATTACTAGGATTATCATAAGTCATTTGGTTAAAGCAAATTCTATAAGTGAGATGTATATTCTCAAAATCTAAAATCTCAAACTTCATAATTTTAAAAGGCACGCATTTGTCCCCGTCAAACTAAAATTGTTGCGCCTTTGCATCTTGTCATCCTTCTCACCTTTTAATGACAGTGGCCGAAAAAGGTCAATCATAGTCAAAACTGTCAAAGATCCCACAAAATCAATGGTTTTATGATTTTGTTTTTACAATTTAGCTGCAATGCAAGATTCTACTTAAGATCCGGATCGTTGGGGGGACAAAGATCGTAAAATCTTAAGATTTTAAGATCTAAATCGAGATCTTGACAACCATGGCCTCAATAGATGATTTGGACACAATGGCTTGTTTCTTAGATTTTCAAGAGAAGAGAGAGTCACATATGAAGATGCAATAATTGCATGTTGACCGTCTTGCATCAGAGCAGGTGGCCCAATTGGAGTCACAAAAGGTCTTGATTTGAAGATGTGAAGAAGAAAGATAGAATAGACTAAGGGCTAGGCAGGATTTGATATACTTGATAAACTCATAGCAGTTTCAACATAGATGTTGATGGAGTGACTCATAAACTGTCCTAGTTGTTTTACAATCCATGACAAACTTGGTCTGGTGTTGGTGACATATATGAATTGACTAACAAGTTGTATGTAAGATGCAAGATCTAGCAATGGTGTTCCAGAATTTTGTTGTAATCTTGTTTTTCATTGCATAGGAGAGGAGACCCACTTAGAACCCAATAAACCTGTAATAGACAAACGATCCAAGGCACATTTACGTTGACAGGGATGAATACCAATATGAGATCTAGATATCTTTAATCCTAAGCGAAATCCTGGTATAGCAGATCTCAAAGATGTCTTGAAAGATGTCGAGACCCTTGATCTCTACTTCAAACACAATGATAATAAGAAGCAGAAAACAAATTGTAGAAAATAAATAAGACACAAAATTGTTAACCCAGTTCGGTGATCAACCAGACCTACGTCTGAAGGTTACCAAGCCATGAATGAAATCCACTAGATAGTATTAATTCTAAGCTAAACTCTACCGTTTACAACTTATCTATTAATCACTACCTGTGCTTAATTTCTACCTAAGAATCTTCCTAAGTATGAGACCCTTCTCAATTCCCTTTCAATCACAATAGTGACTGAAATTACAACTCAATTCAAATTGTCCAGCTCTGGTATTAACACAATAAAAGAGTGACTCACAAAGTACAAACCCTAGTACTCACTAAGTAGAAGTGCAAAATTCCACCCTTATCTTATGTTAAAACCATCATATTTATAATCATAAACAAGACCGGATTTGAGCATAAAAAACGCAGCAATTCTGTTCCATAGAATCTGCAACTAATTCTCCTCAAGAATAGTTTCTTTAATCCTAAGTTTTCCAAAGTGTCACCACACTTAGAAATAACATCTTCAAAGAATCTCTGATTCCTCAATCTTGGATGCCACCTAGGAATAAAAAATAATCTTCTGCAATCGAAATCTAAATTAACATATTCAAAACAAATTTAAAAATTGTAACAGACACAAATGTCGAGTAACCCTGTTAGGACATTTTTTCAAAACATCTTGTTCTTCAGTTAGATCTACATGTTAGGAAATCTTGTCCAACATCAAGCTGTCAAGTTAGTTTTACCAAAATTGATGCCAACCTCAAAGGCTTGGACTCATCAATCTCCCCTTTTGGTAAATTTTGGCTAAAACTAATTAAAAGAAAATTGCAGACAGAAAACTATAGTCTGGGACCAAGAATCAGAGTCATTAGAACATCAGTAGTGGAAAATAAAGCATCTTGACTCCCCCTCAATTAGATCCTTCTTCTGCAAGCAATAGATTAGCATGTTCCCCCTTAATGGTTAGCAGTGCAGCAGTAGTTAGTGGTTAGCAGACAGTGGTTAGTAAAGACCTCTCTTTATTTGCTGGGAACACATATGCACTAATTTTAATAGCATTCTCACACCAGGTTGACTGCTACAACTCTTCAGACAGGCAAACTCCAAACTTGCCTCTCAGCACTTCAAATTGATTAACATCCAAGGCCTTAGTGAAGATGTCAGCTAACTGATTCTTTGTGGCAACATTCTCCAAGGTTATAACTTTATCTTCCACAAGATTTCGTATAAATTGATGTCTGATGTCAATATGTTTGGTTTTGTTGTGCTGAATTGGATTCTTTGAAATATTAATGGCACTTAAGTTGTCACAGTAAAGTGTCATGACTTCCTTGTTGACATTGTACTCAGTCAGCATTTGCTTCATCCACATCATTTAAGAATAACTGCTACCTGCAACTATGTATTCAACCTCAACAGTAGACAAGGAGACACAATTTTGTTTCTTGCTAAACAAAGAAATCAAGTTATTTCCCAGAAAGAAACATCCACCAGAGGTGCTCTTTGTATCATCAGCACTCTCGGCCCAATCAGTATCACAATATCCTATTAACAAGGAATTTGTATTATGAGAATACAGTAGACCATTGTCGCATGTACCATTTACATACTTCAGGATTCTTTTGACTTGATTAATGTGACTAACGTTAGGCTCAATTCTATATCTAACACAGACCCCTACTGCAAAAGTTATGTCAAGTCTACTTGTAGTAAGGTATAGAAGACTCCCAATCATGCTTGTGTATAGACTCTGATCAACACTAACACCCTTTTCATCTTTAGATAACTTCAAGTGTGTAGGAGCATGAGTCCTTTTGTGTTTAGCATTCTTTAAGCCAAACTTCGTCACAATACTTTTAGCATATTTCCCTTAACAAAGGAATATTGAGTCTTCCATCTGCTTGACTTGGAGACCAAAAAGGTAGGTTAATTCACCAATTAAGCTCATCTCAAACTCAGATTGCATTTGCTTGATAAAGTGTTGAACCATCTCATCTGACATTCCTCCAAACACAATATCATCCACATAGATTTGAGCTATCATGAGTTTTCCATCTCTCTCTTTAACAAATAAATTTTGTCAATTCCTTCTTTTCTGTAACCATTGTTGACGAGGAATTCAATCATCCTATCATACCAAGCCCTTGGTGCTTGTTTCAACCCATACAAAGCCTTCTTCAATTTGAACACATGTTCTGGAAATATAGGATCAACAAAACCTTTAGGTTGTTCTACATAAACTTTTTGCATTCAAGTACCCATTTTAAAAAGCACTCTTAACATCTATTTGAAATAGCTTGAATTTCAATAGGCAAGCTACTCCAAGTAACAGTCTAATAAACTCCAATCTAGCAACAGGAGCAAATGTTTCATCAAAGTCCACTCCTTCAATTTGAGTGTACCCTTGAGAAACATGTATAACCTTGTTTCTTGTGACCACTCCTTGCTCATCAGACTTGTTTTTAAACACCCATTTGTACCAATCACATTTGACCCTTCAGGTCTTGATACAAGATCCCAAGCATCATGCCTTTTGAACTACCATAGTTCCTCTTGCATAACATTGATCCAGAATTC